GTATTTGTCATCCAATAGAAACATCATTTTTGCTATCCCTTCCAAGTTCGAGGAAGTGTGAACGCCCACTCCGAGCTTTCCTGGATCGCGGAAAAGCGTCGGAGTGCCAGACTTTAGACATCATCAGACATTAGAAGTTATTCATTAAATAGACATTAGACATACAAAATACAAAGTTCAACATTTACACAACTCTAAATTCATACATTTAACTTACACACAAGTCACTTACGATTCAATAAAGTTCGTTATTGTTAAACTCGAAGTCAATCATTCAATACAGTCCACTTATATCCGACTTTGAGAATTGTCACAAATTCTACGCGTCAGAGACCGTCGCTAATTATTGTCGACACGACGACGCACATACAAAGTACTTTAATTCAAACTGATTGAAAATTGTTTCAAACAACTATGATATACAAATTTCAAGTAAAATATTTGAAAACCATGAATAATTTTCAGTTTAAATTAAAATTTATTACAAAAAAAATATATTTAAAATTTATTGCTCAAAATGAAAACTTCGTACGACATTCTTTACAAATAAGTTATTTTTTATTAGGACAGTTTTATGTAGAAAAAATTTTGCTTCGAGTAAAATTAATATTACTTGAGCTATATCATTGACTATTTTTTATTTGCTATTCGTTAGTTTTAAATTACTACTCAAATTTTTGTGCATTGTTTTAATTATTTGAAGAAGTGGCATAAAAATATATTCGAATAAATAATTTGGTCCTTAATTACGAATATCTGTGTTCTTCTGAAATTTAACACTTTATAATGTCCATTTTATAATGCAACGTTTATCTAAAATAATGCCCAAAAGAGTCTTGTTCCTAATGATTTACTTTTGAGCATCTCTAGGACTTTATGTATTAATACATAAGCATGAATGCGTATTTTCGTGCGTAAGGCTGGATTGGTTTGTGTACAAGTGTGCATATATGTACTTGAGTGTCGTGCGTTCCAACGAAGCTCCCACCTGATTTCATTAACCGATGTAGACCCAACCATACACTTTATGTGCATAGTAAAACAGCAGTGAAATTTCAGCCTATTAAAACGAGTAATTATAATGGCAGTGAATACGTGAGCCTATGTGAGTGCGTTACATAAGTGAGTTCACGTTTGTTCTATTATATGTACATAATTTGTGTATTCATTTGCAAAATATGTCGATCCTATACACCCATACAGGCACATATGCACATGTACGTATACACATACACGTACATATACGTACACTACCGTCCATAAGTATCCGGACACTTGGTTTCGTTACATAAAACATAGTTGAACTTTGTACGAAAGGTATTTAGGGTTATCATATCATTTGTAATAATTATTATTATCTTTTCTGAGGTGTCATAACGTAATCGAGTTAATTTTTCAGTACAAATTATACAATGAAAGTGTGAAAGTAAAATTCATGTTCAGAAGTACAAAGTCCAAATTTGTGAATCTAATGAAACGCTTTCGATTCTAAAAAAAATTTTAATTTTTACTGTGTTTCATTTCTGTGGTGTAGAACGTATTCAAAGGGTTCGTCGATATGTTTCAAGTGTTTGTAAACTGTTGGTAGATGTTTAGGTTCCCTCAATGGAGATAAGAATGGAGGTAACGCTGCGCATTCAACAGTTTCGGTTTAGTTCGTCTGTAGCTTCTTTTCCATCAAGATATGAGTTCCAAACGAGAATTATTAATCGAAAAACGTTCCAGTATTCTGACCTTCGCAGAAAAAAAATCGATTTTAGTTACTGTTGCAGATACTTGAATAACTTTCATGCAACGCGAATGCATATTTCGCTTGTGTCCGGATACTTATGGACGGTAATGTACGTATACGTACTGATACATTGACAATAATAATACCATATATTTTCATACTAAAAAATTTATAAACAAAAACGTAAGAGTGTAATTTTCAAATTTCCGAATCTTCGAGGAATTAATTTTTAATTAGCATAATTTCCAAATCTACAAGTAATGTAATTTTCAAACCTTCAAGTAACAATATTATCATATCTTCCAATTCTTAAGTTTCTAAATTTCTGAAATTAAAATTTGGAAATTCACAAAACTGCTAGTATTCAAGAATCATGAATCATAAAATTAGGAAAGATTCAAGTCTTTACATTCACAGATTTTCAAATTTTCCATAAATTTTGAAACGCTTAAATACGTAAATATTTCAATGAACAAATTATTAAATTTACAACCCCTTCGAAAATTCTTACATGGTCTTAGATTTAAATATTCTCAATGCATTTAAAAATTTCCAAACTTGTAAATTTCAGAATTACCAAATTTTCAAAACCCTATATCATATAAAATTCGAATTCCTAAACCCCTAATCACCAAATTTCTAATTCCGAAATTCTCTTCTCCTCAATCTCCAAGCTTCCAAATCCTCAAAATTCCCTAGTTTCAGATTTCCAAACTTCAAATCTCAGAATTACAAAGAACAGTTCGTTATCTTCCCCTTGCGTCGCATTCAAGCGCAACGCGTGCCATGCATCTCGTTGCCCACAACCTGATCCGCGGGCACGTGCTCCACGCACCGCTGTAGTCTGTTCCGCTATTATTCAAAACGCTTTTCGTTTTCCTTTTGTCCCTCGGTCAGGACAACGAATACGCGTGTGGACTGAATTTTTGATGGACTCGATACCCGTCGCTCTCTTTGTTCAACCTCGTCCACGACTCTGACGTTTCTCGAACATCGAGTCGCACGACTTGCATTCGTGTGTCCGCTCCGGGCACGCGACACGAGGATCTACGGGACGAGCTACGACCGGAATACAAGCAGAGGAAACGTTAACTCGCTGGAACCGGT